AGCAGCCGCAGTGAGCGGTCGTCCAGAAGCCGGCGACTGATCTGCCTCGCCAGAGAAGAGCGCGATGATGGTGCCAACTTGGGCCAGTGAAGCGACATCCTCCACAACCAGATTGAAGAACAAAACGACAGTAACTTGTCTGTTCCCCTTCCCCCAATTCCCCAGCACTGTTCCTATCCCCCTAATTCCCCAATAAAAAATCTTTTTAAAAAATAAATAAATAAATAAACTACAGCAACTTGTCTGTCTGTTCCCCTCCCCGCAATTCCCCAATAAAAATCTTAAAAATAAATAAAATAAATGCATAAAATAAGAAATCATGATTTAGAAAACAAATGAAATTCCTCTGTTTAAAAAAAGAAAAAGGTGCTTTTAGGTTCCCGTGGCCAACAAGAGAATCAAGTCCCAACTCACTCTTCACCCGGGCCTTTGAGGGATCTCTTGGTATGACAGCTCTTGAGGTTTTCATTGCATTCCTACTCCTGAAAACACACCACAGCCTACTGCCAGGGCATGGCTCCCTCGGGTCACTCTCAGTCCTCTCCAGCACCCTTACTTCTGCATTTTCTGTCCACCATCTGCCTGTCAGCCCTCCAGAAGCTCCAGGTCCAGCTTGAGCCACTCTTCCCCAGGAAGTTGCCCCAAACACGAGGGCCCACCATGGTGGTCCAGACCACTCCAAACTGTTTCCTGGGTGCCAATGAAAGCTTCCTGAGGTCTTGTTAAGACGATGCCTACATTTCTTTGACCCAGACCAGTGCTTAGCAGAAAAGCAGGCTCATAAAGCCCGGGCTCTCCAAATAAGTCTGATCTTTAAAGTTCAAATAAATAAATAAATAATGCCTGGGCTCACAATAAATCCATCACTTCCCCTTTCTGTGACCCCTGAAAAGCCTTATTTGTGCTCTAAGAGTGAGCACAAATTAATTGTCCCAGCCTTGTTAATTCTGTGAATCATTTATTTCTGAAAATGTTTACTGGACAGAAGAGCAACATGGTGCCTTTAAGAAGGCCTGCTGGGGCCCTGGGCGGGACTTGGCTGACCATTCTCTGGCTGGGAGGAGGGGCAGGGCAGCCTCAGCATGAGATGTCAGAGCAGCTCAGACTCCCACAGTGCTGCCAACTGATTCTACTCAGCTCACTTGGCACATCATCCTTGCCAGGCCCTGGCAACGGTGAGCAAAACCATCAAAAGAATCACAACAACTCCCTGCAGTGGGAGCCCCCGAGAACAGAAACTTCCCCAAGGAAATGCAATGGAAGCAGAGTCTTAGAAGGGAAAGGGGATCACTGGTCAGAAGAGTGGGTGGGTTGGGAGAAGATTCCAGGTCAAGGGCTCAGCTTCAGCAAAGGACCAGACAGACTACCCTCGGCATGGTCAACCATGGATGCTGGTGGTGGGATTCCCTGCAGACGGATCCTGAGCTGTCCAGCCTGGGCTCTGAATGACCCCAGATCTGCACCTGCCTTCCAGCTAACTGATGTGCCAGCAGCAGCTGCTCACCTCTCTGTCAACTCACAGCAGTGCTGGGTTCTATGGCTTTGATGTTCAAATATGGGAGAAAAGCAATTCCAGAAATCAAATAAGACTGTCCTGTACACTTCTCCACCATTAAACAGTAAACGCAAAAGAGGGACAAAGACTCTCACTCTGTGAAGCTATGTCAGCCTGGAAGGGAGCTCTCTGCAGATGGAAAGAAAATGGATTCAGGGAATCACAGTGCTGTTACCTCCTTCTGAGGAGTCCAACAATCTCCAGCTCAGCTCTGGGGTATGCACTTTGAGGGAAAGGTACGATGAACTAAAGCCAGTCCAGAGGAGCAATCAGGAGGAGGAGGCTATTAGAACTACATCAGAGGGGAGAAAGCTGACCGTCTTGGAGGTATTTCTCTTGGAGAAAAGAGATTTGAGGAAGGCATGAAGCTGTCCTCTTAAAGAGAGAGGAAGAGAGATTACCTTGCTCTCTGTTGTACCCACCACGACCCTCTAGCCCTGCAGTTATCACATCATCATGAAACCAGCTGCTTATAAACCTCACCCTTCCCCAAAACCACAACTCCCTGAAGGCAGCCTGTGCAGTGAGTCACTTCTGAGGCACCAGCAACTAACCCATGGCCAGGACATAGCAAATGCTGAACTGAAAGAGTCAACGACAGGAAGGCCTATTGTGGCTCAAGAAAGGGAAGTGCTTTCTAACAATCCCAGTTGCCTCCAACAGGCCAGATGTTTGGGGGGAAGCATCCTGTCTGGTAGCAACGGAATGCCCTCATGCTAGTTGAAGGATGCAGGACAAAATGGCCCCCGAGAGTTCTTCCAATTCTAGCACCGAGCCTCCTGAAGCAGTGAGAGGAGCCACAAGCAGAAGAAATACACCGACAACATGCCAGGCACACACATCCAGTCACTATCTTGGTAACCTTCCCAATCCCTGAAGTAGGCAGGCACTGTTATAATTCACATTTTACAGTGGAGAAATCTGAGGCTCAGGAAGGTTCAATCACTTGCCAAAGCCATAAAACCAGTAAGAGGCAGATTTGAAATGCAAACCAAGACTGCTGCCCACCTGAGCTAAGAGACAACTGGCCATGCAGAAGGCAGCTCCAGCCCTTTGCAGCTGAAGGCTCTCCAAGCTCTCCTGCTGATGCCAAAACTTTTCAAAGGCACATTTACATCTACAAGCCCAAGAACCCTGCGCCAACAGATAAGATTTCCCTGAACCCAGCTCTAGGGAAATATAGCTGCTGGTCCAGAGCCATCTGTTCTGTGTGAGCCGAAGGGCTGCCCTCCCCTCTTAGACCCCAACCAAGGAACACAAGATGCGATGGGAGGGGTCTAGGAAGGCTCTCCTGAAGGAGGCAACATCTGAGCTAAGCCTTAAATTGATGAGCAGGACAAGAAAGGGGACAGTGTGGGGCAGCAGAGGGGAAAGGGCATTCCAGACAGAGGAAACAGCAGGAGCAAATGCAGAGAAGCCAGAAGTGTGTGGAGAATCACAAGCAGTGGGTTGCCAGAACATAAAACTCAAATTGAATGGTGGAAGGACATAGTGATCAAAAAGGTAAGCAGGGGCTGATAAATTATGAAGGACTCTGAATGCCATGTGAAGGAATCTGGCCTTGATTTATCCTGAGGGCAATAAGGAGCCACTGAAGGGTTTTACACAGAGCAGTGATAAGATCAAACTTTTGCATTAGGAAGATCACTGTGGTAGTAATATGTGGCTGAGCTGCTGGCAGTGAGACTAGAGGCATGAAAGTGATGTGAAGTAGGGGAGAGACATGCTGTGCTGGGGCTGACATGTACTCCAAGGCTCCGCTACCATAATTCCCAGTTGGAGCCAAACTTTCTATCCTCTGGGTCCCCAATCCTACTCACACTGCCAGGGACCCAGGCCTGCTCTACAGGCTGCTAATTTTACGGAGCCTCCCACACACCTTTCTTTAATGATATGACTGCAGGGAGGAAAATAACACTAATCACTAAACTCACTCCATGCCAGGCACTAACTTGGATCCTTAACACAATCCCAGTTGTGCAATCAACAACTCTGTGAGGGAGGTTACTATCCGTAACCCCGTTTTACAGATGAGGAAACTTAAGTTCAGAAGGGGTAGCCTGCCAAAGGTCATCAAGCTACTAAAGGGAGGAGCCAGGATGTGAACCGACTTCTACCTGATGGCAGAGACTGCTCTGTTAACCACTGCCAAGGAGAGTGGAGAGGAGGGAGGGTTAGGAGTTCTGTGTCCTGGGCTTCTGCGAGGACCCCGGGAAAATAGTGAGTGGAACCCCTAGCCACAACCGCCAAGAGAGGCTAGAAGTGGGAAGCCCGACCTCAAACAAAGGAATCAGCAGGGACCCGGCCCTCCGCAGCTTTCAACTACAAGGAGAGAGACGAGGGTATGGACCTGAAAACTCCAACTGAAGACAGAAAAAAAGGCCCCAACAGCTGAGGACACAGGGAAGGGGCGGGGCTCGGCAGGTTGAGCACTCCGAAGGCGGGGCTGACAAGGGGGAGGGTCTCTCCAGGCCCGTTGAAGTCTAGGACCTGCGGGACCCTGTGAGGGGGCGGGCCGCGAGAGGGCGGGACCGCAGGGGCGGAGCCACAGCTGAGCTTGCTACCCACGGACTCGTTAGGTCGCCTCCCCACGACTGGACCCAATCCTTGTTCCATACCCTGGATCCCGCAAGGCTGATCCGGGATCTCGATGGTGTAGTCCAGCTCAGCCGAGAGCATGGTGAAGGCGCCGGCCCTCAGCACGGGCCTCCCGCCGGAACTCCCGCTAGCACGCCAGCGCCTCACTGGATCACCACCCCCTACCCGACGCTGCCCAATCCCTGAGCGCGCTCTGTGACCTCTCGCCCTAGCAACCACCGAGTCGCTATCGGAGCCTCTCGCCTCACCCCACTAGCTCAGCCCTAGCAACCATTCCCCGCCCTGCCCTATCCCTGGCCCGCAGCCATTGGCTGACTCGCTTAATGTGGCTCAGATATTGGTCAGCCGGGACGCCGGTCAGAAAGAGTCCCCACCCTCCTGTGTAGGTAAGAGGGTCTGCGGGAGAGTTGCGGCGTTTTGGAAATGGGGGTGGTCTCCCTTCCCAACTGCGTCTTATCCTACGAGGGTGGACGGTAGTGCCCTTTGATTTACATCATGTAACTACCTCTACCATCCTCTATCAGCCGTAGCTCCGAAGGCTGGAGGTTGAAAACCTTACAAAACGACCTAGAACGCGCGTGCAGGCCCATCCACCTAGAGGGGCAAGACATACTCTAACTGGTGGGGAGGGTAGGAGGCAGTGGCGGGGGTGAAGGGGTAGTGTCTTCAGGGGAAGCCTTTAGAGAATGCCCTGTTCGTGGGAGGAACAAAAGGACTAGGGAGTACCGTTTTCTTGCATTTATCCATGCATTTAACAAATATTTACTGAGCACCTATTATATTATGTAGGTGGGCTCTAGTTAGGATTAAGCTTTTGGCCCTGACTTCCGTAAGTCTTAAAAGGAGAGGGAGAGAAACCATTCATGAACCAACTCTAATTCTGTGCGAGCTCAGAAAGCGTCGAAGGAGCATTATGGCAGTGGAGATGTCTCTAGAGGTGGGCTTTGAAAGACTTGTGGAGATATGGAGGGAAAGGACTCTGCAGAAGCGCAAAAAGGGAAAACTGAGGGGTGAGTTCCAGAACTTATGAGTATCTCTGATCAGAGGAGATACTAATGAGAGAGTAACCTTGGAAGAACAGGTAGGCCCAGATCCTGGAGGGTCTTTGATGCCAAGCTCAGCTTTGAACTTATAAGTTCATCTTACTGATGGTAAAAAATTTCCAATGTGTTTCCTATGAATGCAAGAGCTTAGACTTTATCCTGAGGACAGTGGGGAGCCATTGCAGGGCTTTAGCAAAGGAGTAACAATCAGATTTGTGTTTTAGAAAGATCAACGCAGAGAATAGATTGGGGATTGAGAGAAGGAGGGAGACCAATTAGGAAGTTGTTCCAGTAATGTGGAAGGACTATGGTGGCCTAAAGCATGGAGACGTAGCAGGAATAAAGGGGATGGATTCCTTAGACATTTGTAAGTTAAAAAGAGCTGGACTCGTTGCCTTCTGGGGCAAGTAGGAGAAAGGAGGGATAAATACTGGCTTGGGCAAAAAGAAAGGAGAGGAAGCATGGTTTTTAGGAGAAAGTTCTGGGCCTGGTGAATTTGAGGTGCCAGTGGGACATCCAAGTGGAGGTGTCCAGGAGGCAGTTGAGTATGCCTGACTGGAGTTTGCAAGATAACTCTAAACTGAAAATAGAAATGTGGTAGTCTGTAGTGCCTTACAGATAGCAGCCACACCAGTGGATTGATTCCCCAGAGAGTATGTATAGAGTAAGAAGAGAAGAGGGCCGAGGACAGAGCACTGAGAAGCACTCAAGCCTGAGGGTCTGGCAAAGGAGAATGAATCTGCAAAGGTAATTGAGATGATGTGACCAGAATGGTAAGATAATCAGTAGTAGAACATGGTGTTTCGGTAGCCAAGGGAAGAAACTGTTGAAGGCTGATGACTAATGAAATAAAATAAGATCTGAAAAAAAATCCACTGGATTTAGAAACAAGGAAGTTGTTGGTGATTTTTGCAAATGCGGTTTCAGTGGCATGCTAGAAGCAGAGGTCAAATTACAGTGAATTGAGAAGTGGGTGGGAAAGTGAGGAAGTGAAGACTGCATGGACAATACACTTTTGAGATGTTTGGTTCTTTAGGAGAAAAAAGCAAGATGACAAAAGCTGGAAGGAGACACAGGTTTGTATTCAGATGGGAGAAATGCTGTTGGCCTGGATCCAGCAAAAGGAAAAAGATAAAATTATAGAGAAAAAGAGGTAACTGAGAAAGTAGCAACCCCAGAAAAAGAATAACATAGGGGATCCAAAGCATTGGTGGAGAAGTTCACTTAGAAAGACGGAGGGTATGGGCCGGCTGAGTGGCTCAGTTGGTTAAGAGCTCACGCAAGAGTTTGAGCTCTGAGCAACAGCGGTACGGTGCCCAGCCCAAGCTGAGCTTCCAACAGGTGGCAGGATGGCTCAGCTAAAAAAAAGCAAACCAGAAAGATGGAGGGACATTTGCATTGTGACAAAAAGGAAGCATATGTGATTATTACATTAGTAGGTTTGGTGGCGAGAAGTTGAGGGAGTTCTTGTTTGATGGTTTATTTTCTCTCTGAAATAGGGACATGATATCAGCCAGTGAGAAAGTGGTTGGAGATGATATGCAAGGTTTAAGAAGAGCAGAGAGAGATTGAAATAGCTGCAGTGGAGAATGGGAACGAGATAACCAAAGCAGCATACAGATTTCTGGGCAGTTATGAGGCTTATTGAGGTTGATGACCATTAATTTGTAGCAGCAGCGGTCTGCATAATTGTGTGATATGTATCTTTCCCCCAACAGTATTCAGCCACCTAGTGGTGGGTGTGAGAGGTTAATTGAACAGGCTTGGATTTTATCAGGTGGATGAAATGGAAGGACAAACAGCAAGGAAGTTGAGGGTCCTGGCAAAAGTTTGAGATGATGGACCTTAGAACCTAAGCTGCATAGGAGACTGTAAAAGTGTTATGGCCAGGGGGTCCCAATGAAGTCAGAGAACCCATATCTTGGAAATTGTTGGATGAGAGAGTTGTAATCAGAATGTGGAGTAATGATGTTTGAGTAGTTCCAAGTGATGATAGGGCCCAGGGTGTGGCCATGGGAGTGCGTGGCTGAAGCGGAATCCAGAAGACATTCAGGATGTTGACATGGCCATTGAAATCCCCCTGGATGATGGCAGGACTTGAGGAGGAAAAAGGGAAGAGGATGCTTGTTAGCTGGGTACCAAAGTCCTTGATGAATAAAGTAAGATGTTCAGGAATCTGTTGATGACAGCATGCGGAGGAAGGGGAAAAGTCAATGCAGCTGAATGGCATGACCCTCAAAATAGCAAAAGTTTTTACAAGAAGGTGGTGGGATAAGGAACTGGGCTGGGCTTTGGTGAGGAGACATTAACCCCACTCCCAACCAACCCTGAGATCCTTGGAGTGTAAGAGTATAAGCAGCCTCCACCAGGGAGGGCTATGCAGAAGCAGCTTTCAGGGCAAGCTGGAGGTAGGCTATGGAGAAGCTAGGAGTGGAGGAGACTTTCCTGATCAGGAACCAAGGTTTTCGAGGGCAGAGTTGGAAGGTTAGGAAGAGGAGGAAGGGTAGGAAATCAGGTCCAGGAAGATGGAGCATAGAGCATAGAATAATGAAGGGTGAGGAGAATGCGGGTAGAGAGGTTATGGTTGACCTAGAACAGCGGTTCTCAACCTGTGGGTTGCGACCCCTTTGGGGGGTTGAACAACCCTTTCACAGGGGTCGCCTAAGACCATCAGAAAACAAAAAGATATTTACATTACGATTCATAACAGTAGCAAAATTACAGTTATAGAGTAGCAATGAAAATATTTTTATGGTTGTGGGTCACCACAACATGAGGAACTGTATTAAGGGGTCGCAGCATTAGGAAGGTTGAGAACCGCTGACCTAGAGAGTTACATTTTGTGGGGGAGAGCATGAGGGCAGATTTGTGGAGTGGAGTTGGGGGCAGAAGTGAATCTATGGAGAGGGAAAATGGGGTCTGTGGGTAGAAAATGAGGGTAGGTCAAGGGAGAGAATGAAGGCAGAGGGTTTTACAGGAAGGAGATGGAGGGAAGATGGTCTATAGGGAGAGGATGGAGGGAAAGGCGACTGTCCATAGGGAAGTGATGGGTGGCAGGAGTGGTCTGTGAAGAGGGTATGAGTGGGGAGCAGAAGGTAGGGAGTCTGAGAAGAAAGTGACAAATTGTAGTACATATACTCTTTGGCTGGGCCTGAAGTTTGGAAGGAGAATCAATCAATTTCTCTCTCCTCTCTCTCTCTCTCTCTCTCTCTCTCTCTCTCTCTCTCTCTCTCTCTCAGGAGCTGGGTTGGGGGCCCAAAGAAGAGGCCTCTGTTCCATTCTGTAGGTGGAACCTGCAGAAACAACACATAGTGACTGCCTTGTTGTCTCTGAGGCCATCTGGGGACAGGGAGCCAGGCTGACAGCCCATGTCCTGAAGGCTTCTTGCTTTTAGAAACATGCCTTTTGATTTCCCCTTCTGAGAAATGTTATTTAGAAACAAGACCTAGTGACCTTTTGATTTTATAATACCTCTTCTCGCTTGTTGCTAAGGACCTCTGGCTTAGTGCAAGAGCTGGGGTTTTTGAATTTTTGTGATTTTAGTTTCCCTGCATAAGGAAGAACCATTTGGCTGCTGTAGATACGATTTATAAATGAGTCCAGATTTATTAATCACCTCTGAAGATGGAGAGGAAATTAAAAACAGAGGGTCCATTCTGGGCTGAAGACAAAGTAGGTTTGTCGTCCTTGCAGGAGACCTTGCCAAGGTTAGAAGGCCACAAACAAACCAATTTGGACTGAGGTTCCTAATCTGGATTTTAATTTCATGTGCTTTGATTTTTCAGACCATTTTCTCTCCAAGGTAAAATAATGACTGTTTTAATTGGCTGCCACTTACAGAGAGGTTCCAATAAGCATGATGGCATACATATATTTTTCTCTGGCGTTCCGTGTGTGCTCCAGTTCTTATGATCAAGCTGGGGAAGCTGACTTTTACTGCATGCTGCATGCCATGACCAGTTGACTATAAATTAAATCCTCTTTTCCAAAAGCCATTTTCCATTAGTGCTAATTTGTTTGCTTCTCATTTCCACTGATCATTAGAGTTTCTGGTTGTGAGCACCAAATTGGAAATAATTTCCTTAACATTTCAAAAAATTTTCTCCCCTTCTTGAACACTATTTGGCTACAGCTAAAGAACATTATGGTTTGCAGAGGAACAGTTCACTCCAATTACAATTTAACTGACCGTTCATGGCACTGAATCCCTGTCCTTAGTGTCCAAAGATGACACCACTGCTGACATTGCTGTTTCCTGTCATAGCTGTAAAATGCCTCATAGACTTTGCACTGGCCTTCTTGGATGGAGATTCTGCCACTCTGCACATGGCAGCTTTGGGAAG